GTCTCGAGGAGTTAATTGTTACAATATTAGAAGTTGGGGGATAAAAGTGTGAGTTCCAGGTTAGTTTTGTAAGTATTTATGAAGGCAGGGACTAAATGGTACTTTATGGGACTTCATTTGAAGAATTTTAGATGCTAAGGGGCTGATTTGGAAATTTAAGGACCTATTATGAAGAGATTTTTGGAGATAAGGGCAATATAGTAAATTTCGGATTTAATTTGAAAGGATTTCATGGGGAGGGACCAGAAATGTAATTATGGGGAAATAGTTATTTTTGGACGGGTATATAGTCTCTTATCGGCCAACCCTAACCCTAAACCCTTCCTTATGATGCAGCCGTCACCCACCTCCCTCCTGCAGCTGCCCTACCGCCACCCTATCTCCTCACTTCTCCGACCAACCAAGTCACCGGCGAAACCGTCCCCTTGCTGCTGTTTCCGCCGCCGACAAAGGCAGAAATCGTGGTTCCGGCGTGCGATTAAGGAAGATCGGAGCTCAAGTCGACTGCCGCCACTGTTTCATCGCCTCTCCGTGTTTCCTTCTTCTTCTGCCGCCGCCATGTCGCTGTAGCAGCCACTCCGAACGACTGTTGCGGCTGGAGCTCTTCTTCAACTACCTTGCGCCACCACAAGGGTGGCTGAGGTCGAGGTGCGTTTTGGGTATTGGGTTCACGACGATCTTGCTCGGGTGGTGCGTGTTGATAGGCCGAGACTCAAGGAAACTCGCCACCACCGTTAGGTGGTGGCTGTCGATACAAAGCACCGCCAGCCGCCGTTTCTATTACCTCCTGCCGTCGCTGCCGTGTCTAGACACCACCAGCCACCGTGGTGGTGGGTGTGAGTTGGGTGGGTGTGTGATTCTGCTTCTAATGGATGTTTGTGCGTGTTTATTTTAGTGAAACAGAGTAGTTGTTTGGCCGGAATTCCCAATAACAGCCACCGGCACCACCTTGAGGTGGTGGCTGCCGCCAAGCACCGCCGGCGGCCACCATGGTGTGGCTGTGTGTGTGTTAGTTAGTGTGTATGTATTAGTTAGTGTGTGTATTAGTTAGTGTGTGTATTTTGGATAAAAGCCTTGTAATTGTAATTACATGGAATAATGGAAATAATAATAGTAACCACCACCGTAAGGTGGTGGCCGCCGCCATGAGCCGCCATGGACCACCACTACCCGAGGTGGTAGTGGGTGGTGCCCCACAAGCAAACCCTAATTGACCTAGCAAAACCCTAATGGGCTTAAGGATTAGTTTTGGGCCTATTGGGCCATGTTTGGGTGAAAAACCCTAATTAGGGTTTAGAAAACCCTAATTAGGGTTTTAGAAAACCCTAATTGTGAGTATTTGGGCCTTGGACTTATTTGGACCCACCTTTGGGCCATTGGGATTGGATTGTGTATTAAGCCCAATTTCTCCATATCATTGATCTAGTAGAGTAAAGGACTTAATGGATTAAGTCCTTAATGGGTTAAGTAAGAAACACTTAACCCTAATCGTCATTTTATGTGAAACCCTAGTTTCACTTGGGCCTTGAGCTGGGCCTTTCGATTGGGTTTTGGTAATTGGGCCAATAATGGGCCATCCAAGAATGATTATATGGACTAGAATATTTAGATGAGCTTTCGGGTAAGGCCCATATGAGGGTTTGGGCCCAATTTAGAAAATTAGGCCATAGAGAGGCTATAGTTTGGGCCTTGATGATTATGAGATGTTGGACCATGAGAATGTCAAGTGTTGGACCAATAATGAATGATTGGGCCTTAAGGCAAGACTATGTGGAGGTTGGGCCCAATTTAGAAAATTGGGCCATAGTTGGGCTTTGGTCCATTATTAGACTTTTGGGCCTTTGGTTTGGGCCTTGGGCTGGAGTCAAGCTAAGATAGGGGTAAAGTAGTCTTTTACCCAAGTATGGACTTATGGTTATGAGTTGGAATCCAATTATTAATTGGGTGTTATTTTGGTATTGACAGTTCGGGAATCTGTCATCCAGCAACTGGGGTTGAGTCTGCGGGACTTCAGCAATGTGAGGTTATGTCTTCGGGACTTCAGCAGTGTGAGGTGAGTTTCCTTTCAGTAGGAACGGGTCTACGGCCACAATGCCGGCCCGTTTAAGTTAGCAGTAGTTCCGGACTTCAGTCTGATGCAGTAGTTCAGTATGCTTGGTGTCTTTGTGATACATGCATGGTATGTGTTATGTGTTCCGGACTATGGTCTGATGCAGTATGCAGTATATGTGTTCATATTATATGCCATGATCATGTTATGCTATGTTCAGTCAGTTCCAGACTTCGGTCTGATGCATTAGTTCAGTGTGCTTGATGTCTTTGTGATTCAAGTATGACTTTGTGTTATGTGTTCCGGACTTCGGTCCGATGCAGTATGCAGTATCCGTGTTTATGCTAGTAGTTATGATTATGCTATGCTATGTTCAGTCAGTTCCGGACTTCGATCCGATGCAGAGGGCAAGGCCCTGATTAGTTCCGGACTTCGGTCCGATGCAGTTTCCGGACTTCAGTACGATGCAGAGGGCAAGGCCCTGGTTAGTTCTGGACTTCGGTCCGATGCAGTTTCCGGACTTCGGTCCGATGCAGAGGGCAAGGCCCTGGTTAGTTCCGGACTTCGGTCCGATGCAGTTTCCGGACTTCGGTCCGATGCAGTGGGCGAGGCCCAGTATGTGCTTTATATGTTATTGTATGGTATGTGGTAGTTGGGGAGACTCACTAAGCTTCATGCTTACAGTTTTCAGTTTTGGTTTCAGGTACTCAGTTTTCAAAAGAGGAGCTCGGAAAGATTGCAGTGCACACACAATTTGTTCAGTCTGGGATGTTTATACTCTGATATATTTGACAGCTGTTATGATATTTTGAGATACATTGTTTATGATTCTTATATGACGTTTGATGAATATGGTTTTATTACTGATTTAAAACGAAATTTTCAGACTGTGTTTTTGGGATGTTACATAGAATTTGAGCTGAAAAGGGATGCATGTAGTGTTGGTTATTGTAGTTTCTATGACTATATCCTCACCTCGGTTTTCACAGGTATAGCCATTGGTTACAGTGTTATGGATGTTGTTTTCAAACACCAATATGGTGGGGTTGGTAGCAGAAGATTATTTGGCGGTCATAGGGATAATAAGGGTGGTTATGGTATATAGAGTGGAGCTAGTTTAATTTGTGGTTTGTTTGGCATGACAGGTTTCTTGCAAAATAAGTTTGGAGCGAGCTTTATAAAATAATTGCAACGGATCGAATTGCTGGATAACTGTGACAACACCATCATATGCATCAGTAGTAAGGTAGTGATACGTTAGGGGGGGGGGGGGGGGACAAGAGAATGTTTGGACACCAATGTTGGCTAGAATATATAATTATTTAAAACTGTTGGATGGATATATTGGAGAATTGTTTGAGTTTTGTGCTCGATAATTATTGATCCCGTGCTTGCTTTCAAGCGATCCCATGCTTGCTTGGCAATCAAGTCGAGTGGAAGTATAATATGTAAGAGATTGCGAGAAATAGTACCGTACATCCACCGAAAAACGCTAACATCAAGTCTTGACCAATTGTTTTTTGGCAACAATAGCGATGGAAGGTGGTGGTGTTGCCATGATATGATCAATTACTTGATATACACAAAATTGAATTTTAAAGTGCTCGGGCAAAGAAGTATATTGGCTCTTTCCATCTCCAAAGTGATGAGAATTATGGATTTGATGTATTAAGCTCTGATGACCGGTGAAGTTAACATTGTTTGCCATTGATTGTAGAAGAGGCCAAGAGGGTAAGAAAAAACAAGAAAGAAGTAGAGGTTGGAGGGTGAGTATGCGTTTCATTGATTAAAAGTAGTGGAAGGGTTTTATTTTTTTCCACGACTAGAGAAAGAAAAGAAGAATTTAAGCTCTCATACCATATAAGTAATATTTTCTTTGATTTATTTTCAATCTCAATATATAAGGTAACGTGGAGGAAATGAAAGGAAAATACACACCTGCACCAATAAGATAAATACATGATAATTACTATCGACAACTAATAGTTATTTTTAGCAATCCGGAATGAAAGGGCTTAGAGATGATGCAATCATTCAAGACCCGCAATACAACATAGATAGTAGCCCAAGCCCATGTATCTTGACTATAATTATAATTTATAAACACCGATACTTTCATGGATCCATGCTGTGGTTATACATTTATATACGTAAACTTAACCCAAAACCCAACTCATATTTCAAAGTCGAGTTTCGCTTCGGTTTTCAACATTTTAAGTCTCTCTAGATACCTACTTCTTACCTCGATACCTCCTCCCCCTCTCAAAACCGAATGAAACTCTAAAATTGCAATCTATCATCAAAATCTACCAAACATTGCTCATTGTATTTTATTAAAATTACCACCTTAACTTATACGGCATAAATCCAAAAAGAGCAAAAAAGATACCAAGTCCAAGTGGGGTTGGTTAAAAGCCTTGGACGCCTAAATAACCATTTTTCATGGATACCTTGCACGTTATCCACTTCTTCCAACGATTCTTTTTGTCTTTCTTTTATCTTCATTTTTTTTTTCTTAAATATTATTTTCTATCAAAATTAAATTCATAAAACTTTAGTCAATATCAATATTTGACATCTTTAATAATTTTCATATGATTATTGAAACCTAAGTTCTTATTCAAAGATTTAGGTTATTCAATGCAATCGAGTTGGACAAGATTAAATACACGATTTTTAATTGCATCTTATACAGAAAATACTACATTATTTGTATTAAGTTGTCGTTAAATTGTAGTATTTCGTTACTTATAAACTATCCAATATATTAAACATAAGATAAGATTTAAACTTATAAAATTTCAATTTATCATAATGAAAATACCAAGAAACCTATTTGCTGTTATATTCTCATTCTTATTTATAGAAAACACTTTTTTTTGGCGTACGAAACTTAACAATACCTCTTCCTATAAATAACACTTGTGTAGATAGAGAAGTTGAAGTCTTGAAACGCCCAAATATAATGGGAATTCTAATAAGTTTATTAGCAAATATCTTCATCAAGAAAAAGAAGCCGTTACCAATTGAAACCATTTTCAAATTAGCCTCTGAGCCTGAGCCACCCAATTTTCCTCAAGGTAATACTTTTATTCTTTTACTTTCTTTTAGATGATTAGAATTATCATAATATAAAGTATCAATGTCATATATAGCAGAGTTATGCTTCATACATATTCACATTAAGGATTAAATTTCCATAGATCATGTCTTTCAAATGTAGTTTATTTGCATATTTAATTGTTTATGTTTTGAAGATAAGAATTTTCTCCTAAACTAATTATAGGAAATGGCTTCGCAACCGGGACAATCGATTTAGGAGGATTACAAGTGTGTCAAGTAACTTCATTCAACAAAATCTGGGCCACCCACGAGGGTGGACCAGATAATCTTGGTTCAACATTCTATGAACCATCTGCAATACCTGACAACTACCATGTGCTTGGTCACTATAGCCAGTGCAACAACAAGCCACTATTTGGGTGGGTTCTAGTCGCCAAATCCAGTGCAAATGACCCATCATCACTAGCCATGCCCATCGATTACTCTCTCATTTGGAGTAGTGAGTCCCAAAAGATAAAACGAGACAAAACCGGATGCATTTGGCTCCCTGTTCCTCCCAATGGCTACAAACCCGTTGGATATGTCGTCACAAACTCACCGGAAAAGCCCTCATTGGAAAAAATCCGATGTGTTCGATCGGATTTTACAGAAATTGTTGAATTTGATAGATGGATTTGGGGGTTAACGAATGAGATTGATCCCAATGGTTTGAATGTATATGGGTCAAGACCAAAAGATAGAGGGGCCCAAGCCACGGGTGTTTCAATAGGTTCATTTCTAGTCCAAAATGGTTTGGCTGATTTGTCATTACCCTATTGTTTAAAAAATAACACAAATACCCTTTTGGCTATGCCTACTTTTGCCCAAATTGAGGCTTTGATTCAAGCTTATTCACCAATAATTTATTTTCACCCCGATGAAAAATATCTTCCTTCTACGGTTAATTGGTACTTTGAAAATGGAGCATTGTTGTACCAAAAAGGGCTAGAAAATAATCCTAGCCCGATTGAACCAGATGGTTCGAATCTTCCTCAAGGTGGTTCGGATGATGATTCATATTGGCTAGACCTTCCCATCGATGATTCGGCTAAAGATAGAGTCAAGAAAGGTGGTCTAGACAATGCTAACGCATATTTCCACATAAAGCCCATGTTTGGTGCAACATTTACTGACATAGCCATATGGGTATTTTACCCGTTCAACGGTCCCGCAAGGGTGAAATTGGAATTTGTCACCATTTCACTAGGTAAAATAGGGCAACACGTTGGTGATTGGGAGCATTTGACATTAAGGGTCAGTAATTTCGACGGCAGTTTAAAATATGTCTATTTTTCAGAACACAGTGGAGGTACACTGCTCGATGCTTCACAAATCGAATTTGGAAATGGAAATAAACCGGTTGCATATGCGTCTTTAAACGGGCATGCGTTTTACTCCAAACCGGGGCTTGTTTTACAAGGGAAGGGTGGAAATGGAATACGAAATGATACGGCTAAAGGGAAGGCGGTGATGGACACCGGAGTTAGGGCGGCGGTGGTGGCGGCGGAGTATTTGACCATGGTTGAGGAACCACCATGGTTAAATTATAGTAGAAAATGGGGTCCAAAGGTAAGTTATGATATAGTAAAGGAGATAGAGAAAGTGAAGAAGGTTTTGCCAGGGAAACTAAAGGAAGTATTTGAGAAAGCTGTAAGTGGCGTTCCAAATGAAGTTTTAGGGGAAGAAGGTCCTTCTGGTCCTAAAATGAAAAATAATTGGAATGGAGATGAAAAATATTGAATATATAACATTATATACTTTTTTTATAGATTATTTTACGTTATAACGGATTGTTTTTTGTAGATGGGAAAAATAGAGAAACTGGATAAAAAAAAAAATAATAATAACAATAACAGGCAGGCCCACCTAAGAGTTCAATAAACAAAAAAAATGCCTTTGAAAAAGGAAACGCCGTTGCCGGGGATCGAACCCGGGTCACCCGCGTGACAGGCGGGAATACTTACCACTATACTACAACGACAACTTGACTCTATTTCTATTTCAAATTATATAATGCCATATTACTTTTTGTTAAACAAAGAATTATAGAAGAATCTTCGTAATTATTAGTGCATTTGAAACGAAGAAAAGAATGTTAACGAGAATAACTTTTCGTTTCAAAATAAAATGTAATATATGAGTTTGTATATATTTTATAACGATTAATCAAGTATTTCAAGTGTCCCTTAATAAAAGCAAAACAAAATGTGTAAAAGTAGCAACTAATTAACAACTAATACTTAATATTGATCGGTAGTAAGATACACGTAAGTTTAAAGAATCTAAGAAAGCAGTCGTGGTGTATTTATGATTTATCTAGTTGGAATATGTTTACTAATAATAATTCTTACAAATCATAGTATTTTAAGAACTAAATATTTCATAGATTTTGCTTGATTAAAATGCAACCTTGGTGATTTTTGCATTAAAGGTATATGTATAAAATATTATTTGAATAAGTGTTGGTAATCAAAGTTGCTATATGCTACCCCGACTGTCATGCATTTTAGATTTATTCCTGTTACGATACTAAAAAAAAATCATAAAAAATAACAATATAGATAGGTGTGTAAATAACTATGTTTAATTAAATATGTTGTTTAAAAATACATGGTCATCAACTAAATTTCATTTAAGAAACAAAAAAGGAAAAAAAAAACACTATCATCCAACTATTTTTCTGTGTACTTATTTAGTCAATTGTTTTTGGAGGCCCAAAGTTATTTAATTTCCAAATTGTATCATTATACTATGTGATCTGATATCGGTGGTTATCTAAGTTCCCAAGTTCACTTAATTTATCATGAATTTGATCCCAAGGCTTTTTTTATTTTTAATTTTTTTAATTTTTAAATATTTAATTTGTATTTTTTTTAATAAATTTGTCCTATTTTCTGAATAAAATTTTGGTCCGATTTACTATATATTACAATTTTCTTGTTACATTTTTTTTTATTTTTACAATTTAACTGTATATACATGCTTTTTAATATGGGTATCATATCAGAATTATTAAATATTGTATATAATTTATATTTAAGCAGTGAGAGTAATATTTAATTTTTAAAAATACAATTTACAAATCACATCCAACCAATTTTTTACACGAAGAGCTAATCTATTAGTATTAGCAGTGTAAATATTGTAGTAACGTAACCGGATCCGAGTTGACTCCTACATATATACTTAAACCCAACAGGTTAACAATGTATTGCTCTCTCTATAAAACGACAGTTTAGCATGTAGAGTAATAAAACAGAACATCAAAATCATAACCATTTACATCCGACGAAAACAATGTTCAAACTACTCTTGTTCACTTGTTAGTGGAGAAACGTGCCAACTCATTTGATAATAACAACTTTTCCTGTTTTTAAATATAACTAAACCATTCCCATAAACAAAATATTATGATGAACATGTCCATATATCATATATGTTATAAGAAAAACACGTTGCATGTAGTTTAAAACCAAATAAATTAATACTACAGATCGGAGGATAATAAGTATCCATACTCCACTGATCCACTCCTGAAATTTTACCCAATAAAAATAATTAACGTGTCATTCTACCAAAGTTTGGCAACTTCCCATCTATCTGTCTCTATGTTATCGGCAATTTCCCATTCACATACAATCCATAACACCACACAAATTAACCTTTGATGATACCCACAGTGACATATACACACATACACACACAAAACTAACTAAGTTAGGAGCAACCCCTAGAATTATATATAGAAGAAAGCATCTTTTGTTGTTGTTATCCTAAGTTGGGTCCATCTCCTTCAAGATGCATTCTTTGGTCTATGTATTCTTCACTGTTGTTATAACCTTCTTGTTCTTCAATGGTGCAACAATGGTGGAATCATCAAATCGATCATTGGCTTATGATCAGAAAGATGTTTCGCCTAGGAGAGAGCTTGTGGGGATCAAAACCAGCTTCAAACTTCCTTCTCCTTTGCCCAAATGGCCTCCTGGTTCGTATCTTTTTTTTTTTTTTTTCGATGCACAAATGTTAGCCGAACTAAACCACAGTCATTAGAGTTAGTTATTACGAAATGGCAGTTTAGTTAATAGTTATTACCAAATCGTAGTATCTTTCTTCTTGTTGTACATGTACATATATGTATTTTGGCAGCTTGTTCATATTCAATACACAGAAAAAATAAAATCAAAACTCTCTCTTTTTCTTCCTATTGTTATAGATTACAACATATTTCTCTTCATTAACACAAGAAACCACATAACAAAACTCGATGATATTGACTTGTAATCACAATGGTGATTTATATTTTTTTATAATTATTTTTAGGTGGAGGTTTTGGTGGTGGAACCATGGATTTAGGAGGATTACAAGTGAGTCAAGTATCAACATTCAACAAGATTTGGGCAGCCAACGAGGGAGGACCCGGTAATGTCGGTGCAACATTTTATGAACCGGTTTCCATACCTCAAGGATTTGCAATTTTAGGGTTTTACAGCCAACCCAACAACATGCCTTTATTTGGGTATGTTCTTGTGGGAAAAGATGTTACAAATGACCCTTTAAACCCTACTCTCAAACCACCAACTGATTACACTCTTGTATGGAGTAGTGTCTCTATAAATATCAAGAAAGATGGTGATGGCTACATCTGGTACCCAAACCCACCAGATGGCTACATGGCTGTTGGCTATATCGTTACTACCTCATCAGAAAAACCCGCTCTTGAAAGAGTTCGATGTGTTAAGTTTGACTTGACGGACATTTTAGAGAGCGACGTATGGATATGGGGATCAAGCAAGAGTTTAAATGTAAATGGGTTTAATGTCTATAGTTCTAGGCCGATGAATAGAGGTGTTGAAGCCATGAGTGCACCAATAGGAGGTTTTGTGGTTGAAAATGGGATAGGGGGCAACACATTGTCGATATCTTGTTTGAAGAATTTGAAGGGTAGTTTGGTAAATTCAATGCCAAATTTGGACCAAATTAAAACCCTAATTCAGACATATTCTCCTATGGTTTATTTTCATCCTAATGAACGCTACCTTCCTTGCTCAGTTGATTGGTTATTTCAGAATGGTGCATTGGTTTACCACAAAGGGGACGAGTCAAACCCTATCCTTGTTGACCAAAATGGTTCAAATCTCCCTCAAGGTGGTTGGAATGATGGTACCTATTGGTTGGACCTCCCAAAAGATGGTTCAAGTAAACAAAGGATCAAGAAAGGTAACCTACAAAATGCAAGGTCTTATTTCCATATCAAACCAATGTATGGAGGGTTATTTACAGACATTGCCATTTGGCTTTTTTACCCTTTTAATGGGGCATCAAGAGCCAAAGTTGAGTTCATCAACATTTCATTAGAAAAAGTAGGAGAACATGTTAGTGATTGGGAACATATCACATTAAGAGTTAGTAATTTCAACGGTGGATTAAAAAGTGTATTCTTTGCACAACATAGTTCGGGGATATGGGTGAGTGCTTCGGTTCTTGAGTATGCAATTGGCAATAAACCAGTAGTATACTCATCACTAAACGGTCATGCATCCTACCCCAAACCTGGACTAGTCTTGATTGGCCCCCACGGAGTCGATATTGGACTCAGAGATGATATGGAAAAAAGTGATAAGGTGATGGACACCGGAGAGAGGGCAACAGTGGTGGCAGCAGAGTACCTAGGCTCAATAGTAGTTGAACCACCATGGTTAAACTATTTTAGAAAATGGGGTCCAAAAATTCAATACGATCTTGACAAAGAACTTAATAAACTGGAGAAAGTTATGATATGGAAGTTAAAAAAGGCTTTTCACAAGTTTGTGAAAAGTGTTCCTAGAGAAGTTTTAGGTGAGGATGGGCCACTTGGGCCCAAAGCTAAACACGAGTGGAGTGGAGATGAAATGGGATGAACATTTGTTTTATAGATTTTCATTTATAATTTACAAGACATTTTATTTTTATCACATTATTTGCTTATTAGATTATCAAAAAACTTGTATTATATATATATATTATATATATATTATATATTTATATATTATATAATATATTATATATATATATATATATATATCTATATATATAAATCAAACAGTATTACACAGCATGAAGTTGCCTATTTTTCGGGTCTGTTTAATAAAATTGTTATATATGATGATTTACAAATGTTGACTTAGATATTGAGAATGTTGAAGAGTTATCTACATCAACATGTCCATGTTAGGGCGAAATGTCTAGTGAGATGTCGAAATACTTATGGTATGTTTGTGTTCTTATGGTCTGTTTAGTGTCGAAGTTATTCGCTATGTATTTTGTAAGGCACTGTTAGATGTCGAAGCTTAACGTTTAGTCCTTACATATTTTTTGTTATCTGATGTACCTTTTAAATAGGGTTAGTATTGAAGTAGAGAGTATGATTTTAGAGCACTTCGTTCATACATTCTCTCTTGTACTTTGTACTCTTTTAGATAAATCAACGAGCCAAATAGAACTTATTTACGATTGTGTTCTTATTGCATTCTGTTATTGATTTCGTCTTACAAACTCGATTCAAACGAACTACAATTGGTATTAGAGCAGGATACATTCAGTTGATACTAGTTTTATCGTCCTTTCAATAGTTTTTAATCGCTCCCTCTGATTCAAAGATTTCCGCACTATTGATTAAGAAAACTTGTTTTAATCAATTGATTTGTTTCGGTTCTGCAATCCGTTTGATAGATTGAGTGTTTCCTGATTGTTTACTGGTTGTT